CCAGCGGCAGACGGGGACGTCCAGCGCCCTGGAGCCCGGCCCCGCGGAGCCCTCGGGAAAGGGAGGAGGCTGGGGCGAGGCGAAGGGCCAGCACAGCCTTACACTCCGGGTTTGGAAACGCCTTTTAGATGCACAGAATGGTTTGTGTTGGAAAGGGACCTTAAAGATCATCCAGTCCAACCCCCCTGCCATGGGCGGAGACACCTCCCACCAGACCTGGTTGCTCAAAGCTCCATCCAACCTGGCCTTGAACCCTTCCAGGGAGGGGGCATCCACAGCTTCCCTGGGCAACCTGTGCCAGTGTCTCACCACCCTTACAGTAAAGAATTTATTTCTAATATCTACTCTGAATCTACCCTGCTCTAGTCTAAAACCATTCCCCCTTGTCCTATCACCTGCCCTTATAGAAAGTCCCTCTCCAGCTTCTTGTAAGCTCCCTTCAGGTACTAGGCGGCTGCAATAAGGTCTCCCCAGAGCCTTCTCTTCTCTAGGCTGAATAACCCCAACTCCCTTTTGCCCTCCAAGCAGCCAGACCTGTGGTCTCTCTGCTGCCCAGAGTGAAGGCCCAGCTGTTGTCTCAGTTACAGCCAGCAGCCTGGCTGCCCTGCTGGTTATCCAGCTCATCCTGACAGCAACACCACCTCCCTAAATTAAGTAAACCGGTTAACTCCTGGTCCAATCCAATGGCACAGACGTGCATTTGACAGCACTGAAGGTTTCCCTCCCGCTTCTGCTGCAGGCCAGGCACAGATCGGTTTCTGCTTTCACAGATGTCATAGTGTACCAACACGCTTCTGTCCCTTCAAAGATATTGTACAACTGTTAAAAGAATACCACACAGGATGAAGGATTTCTGAACTGAGAGAGATGTGTGTGGTTTACGAAGTCAGTACTTTTAACTGTTTATTTTAAACATTTTTCTGTAAGGACATAACAAATAGTTTTTATTTGAAGTTTACATGCATGACCTCACTTATGAACACCAGGACGCCATCTTCTGCTGGCAACTAGGCCCATTTTTAGATAGCATGTCTCCAGCTGTCTGAATAGGACCTGTTTTAACGTTCTTAGATTTACATTCTTAAACATGTCAGAGTTTGCTATGAAGCAACGAGGGCAAAATAGTACTTTCAACTTTGCTCGGATACTCTGTGGAAATAATCTCAACTTTTCCTTTCAAAAACATGTTGAAGAACTGTCATCACTGTGGGAGATTTTTGAAAAAAAACTGTTGTTCAAGAATTAGAAATTTACCATCAGGACTTGGTCCTATGTTTACTGTTACAGCAACAAGTTTCAGCCACAAGGGCTTGGATTTCCAGTAATAATTCCTAACAACTCAAGGTATTTCCTTGCTGGAGAAAAAGAACTCTTGCTCGACATTCCCGCTCCCCTTACCGTTCTGTGTTTGAAAATCTCTTGTAACTTCAGTTGAGAGACATCCTTCACATCTTGTTGTAACCTGTCTGTAACGCTCCCCATAGAGGTAAGTCACGCTTTTGGTACAAGGTCAAACAGTTTTCAAATATGGAAGCTGATACTATGAAGAGTCAGCACTCATGAGAAGCACCTGCATTACCTGGCAACACTATGATTTTGCTAAACAAATAAAATCAGTGTTTCCTGTGATGACCTACCAAGCACTTTATCCTGTCTCTTCTCCTGTCCACCCCTCAGCCTTACTGAAGCTTAGGGCATTGCTACATCATGCATGGAGCAGTGCAGTTCACAGCTCCCTCAGCTCCCTTCAAGCCAGCAGTAGGTAGTGAACATCTTGTCATGGACATTTTTCTCACTGCAAAAACCCCATTTTTTAATCCAAAAGGAACAGATTGTCTGCCTTTCTCCTCCTGAGTAGGCAAAAAAGCACCCCTACTGGTAGAGGGTCTCAGGACGGTGGAAATGCCGAGTTTAACACTACCTAATAGGATAAACAGAGGTGATGAGTTTGAGTCCTATGTTCCATGCCTGCAAACAAAAAACACCCCAAGAAAAAGCCCACACGAAACCCAAAAGCACACCTGCCCTCAAACAAGACACACAACATACTGCAGAAAACAAACAGAGTATCAAGTAATAGCTTTCTTACGAGATGGGGATAAGCAGACATTAGAATCACTCAGAAGTTTGTAGTTCATTAGGAATTAGAAGAATCTATAGTGTGTTAAATCATTATCACTTATTTCTCTTCAAAGCCAGTCACTTTCAGGTATACGTAAATAGTTTTTTTCTGCTCCAGTTTTACAATGTAGAAGGTGACCAAGACGGCAGCAATGTGAACAGAAAATAAGCTCTATGTGTATGTTATGGACTTGCTTTTTGTACAATTTTCAGCAACATATTTCTCCCTTTTGCTAATGTATGGATAAATACCGCGTCAGTTTTTGTGGGGATCTTCTATGGTCATGAATGAACAACATAGAAAAATAATCAGATACTGTGACTACTGACAGCTGTGTGGATGAGAAAACGCTGAATGACCAGAGGTCAGTAAATTCTCTTAAGTCAGTGCAAATTCCAATAAAAACCCACAAAAAGTTGTTTTCCGGAGTTTAATTGGAGCTTTATTACTTAAGCTGAGACTTCACAGTCTTCACCTTCAGCAATTTGCAAAGAGGAGGCATACAAGAAAGGTTAAAACACTTACTGGAAGGGACTCCCTATTTAACAGGGGCGGAAGAGGGCAATGCAGAAGAGCCGGGAGCGCCAAGTTATTCTCAAGTCTCACGTGAGAACTCCTGTAAAAGGCCGATTACTTGAAAGAAGTCAAGAAATTTAGGAAGCAGAACCTAGGATTAAAGTGAGCTGGAACCAGCAAGAGACAAACACCAATGGCAAAATGCAAATAAACCAAGCAGAGTAAAATCCAGACAGAACCCAAACAGTAACAGAGGCTGAATGAATAAATAAAGTTCCTAGGATAAAACTAGATTTATGCTGCCACTCAGCTTCTTCAACAGACATATAAAGCTGTAACTGACTGTGGCATGGTGGCTTCAGCCTCTGCTCCCCTGAAGCCGCTGTCCAACCAGGTAGAAAAATAAAGGTATAATTCACTGGAAATTCTTTCATTTACAAAACTAATGGAATAGGGTTTGTTTTTACGCTTCCGTGTCAACTTCCGATTTATCTTCAACTCCATTCTGCTCATCTTTCATTTCTGCATCTTCGGCGTGTCTGGTTTGAGTAGCAGCAGCCGACTAAACAGAGACAAAGAAAATACATTCCTGTTACACAAAATGGCTAGCATTTGCAAACAATAACACCAACATTATTTTATTCTTATCACTAGGATACCTGGTCTCCCTGCAAGACTGAATTAAAATATTAGGACTTTCAGTCAAGAGAAACCAAAAATTTCTTTGCATTTTTTCTGCATCTAAGAAACAAGAAGCAGTTTAAAGATGGCTGAGAAATAGTTCTGGTGTTGGATGGTTACAGTTCATAACGTGGTGTGCATGCACTCGCCACATAAAGCTTTAAGAAAGTGTTCTCACACAAACTGCAATTCACTTAGGCAGCTTCTGCACAAAACTGCCTTCATCGTGCTTCAATTTCAATGCGATTCAGTTTCAGCAATGCCCATACCCTGCCCCCATTCCAAACTTGTATAAGGCACACTAGGACCTCAGACACGAAGAAATGTCTTTGGTGGACAACTAGCTTCACAAAGAGCGACTTCAACTGGACAACAGCTCTCTCAAGAGCTTAGCTGGAAGAACATCTAACCTGACAAGGTGGCTGCTCTAAAAGCCCTCTCCTGTATCTTCCAGTCCACATAAAAACGTGTGGAAGGTAGAGAGCCATGTGGTAAGGGTCTGAGGTCAGTTTATGCAACAAGACATAACCAGCACATCCTGACCTCACAGTAATTTTCAAACACAGTAAAGGGAGATAGAAATGTCTTGTCCTGCTCATCTCAAAAGCCAGTGCAATGAAATTACTATTCCACCTGTCAGCCTAGCAGGCCAAACCATTTCTTTTATTATGAGGTTAGATGACAACCAGACAAGAACAGGCAAAGTCATAAGCATGCACTGCTGGGGAGGGGAATAGGAGAAGGAAAAGGGGCAGAACCCTTTAAACTAAAATGTTGCATCAACTTAGCTGCAACAAGAAAACACAGCCAAAGAATGTTCAGGCATCAAAGGTCAACCTTTCATCCTCAGAAGCATTTTGTGAAGCACATGAGAGCAAAGCCTCCTTTCCACAAAAATATCTGTTAGCTAGCAATCCTGGGCTTAAGAGAAGGTGATAAACATCCTGACCTTCAAAAATTCACACTTTACATACAGGAACTACTTGAATTCATAAAGAGCACTACTGATGCAAGGGTGGCTGTCAAACTTCAACAGACATAAGATACAGAGATGTCAGGAATTTCAGAACTACAGGCCACGCTGCTTTCTTAGCAACCGGAAGACATTTGGTAAACAAACCCTCTTCTGCAGAACTCCTGCACTTCTCCCACCACCACTAATAGAGAAACTGTTGGACCTAGAACAAAGCAACATGAATTAACAGGAAAAGATGTTTCCTTGCAAGAAAAATCCCCAAGAGTGACCTGGGTAATAAGTGTACTGTTTGCAGTTCCATGTGATAGTTAATAGAGAATACAGTGTATCTCTCTGTACCAAGCAGTAAGCTGAATACCTAAAGGACTATTGCTTGTCTAACATATGACAACACCTCTTGCAGTCTTCTGGAGTAGCGTTACTTACCTTTACATCTTTGTCTGCAAGCCTTTGGAACATGTTGGCATACATCTTTTTCTCTTTCTCATGCTGCTCCCGTATTTTTTGCTGACAGGTTACCAGTTGCACTTTGGCAGCTTTGTTACTTGGATAAAATTGTATTACTTTCTGGAAATCTCCCCGGGCCAATTCAAAGTCATTGACAGCCAAGTGTGCTTCTCCACGCCGGAAGAGGCCTTTTTCATTGTTGCGATCCAATTCAAGGGCCTGTGTTAATAAAAAAAACGAAGAAGAAACAAATCAACATTCAAGAATATTTTTTTCTTCTTTTTCAAGTAACATGCAGTCAGAACACCAGACACTGCTAGAAACTGTACCTTCTGATGTAGATTTATGAGTCTTGTCAGGGCTTACTAACAAGGTGAGTTGAATACAGCAGAAGTTAAGTAGGCTAACTGACAGAGAACCAGCAAGTCTAAGATTTAGTCCAGGCTCTATTCCAGCTCTCTGAAGGACCTTTGCCAACATGACTACCTTTTATCTCATCTCAGTGTTTCTAATTTCTAAATACTTGAACATTCTCAAATGTAGTAGCAAGTTAGTAAAAGAAATTCAAAGGACAATAATTATGAAAATAACCTGTTGGATATTTTTACCTTGTGTATTCAGTACTACCCAAACACCAGCTGATAAGAAAGGCCAAACATCACATGGCCTGGCATCCCTCAAACTGTCAAAGCACAACTGAAACTGTCAGATTGCCTGTGCAGCTTAAGAATAAACCCGTATTACCTTGTTGCAGTTCTCCAAAGCCTGGGAGTATTCCTTCAGCTTGAGGTGGCACATAGCTAGATTAAGGTGGGCAGCAAGCCTCAAGCTTTTGGCTTTCGTATCCTCCTCCTCAGAGAGTCCTGATTCATGCTCCAGCCACGACACAATCTTCTTGTACTGTAATGCTGCTCGTTTGTATTTCCCCTCCTGTAAATATGGAAGTTCAATTATCACACAGCTCATCACAGTAACTTCTATCTCCCTGTTGCCCCTTCAGCTTACCTTGAGCAACAGATCTGAAAAAAATAATTCAGAGTAATCAGATAACTTCTATCATCAAAAGCGCACTGCTTTTGAAAAGCACTCATACATAGGATCAAAAAAAACTTTAGGAATAACTACTGGTTCCCCCAGTAAAGCTGGGCCAGCACTTGATACTTCACTCTCAACTACCACCTTTTATTCAACTTTTGATACAAAACAAGGAAGACGTGGCATTTTCAAAGCAGTACAACCATTACTGTTCCATGAAAATAATGGAAAAGTCTGACTTTAGCTGGTCAAATCCTTTGAAACAGCTACTCCCCACACCTCTACTTAAATTAATGTTGTTCATTTGCAGCACTAACTCACAGTAAGAAATTCAATACTGTAACCTTACTACTATCCAGTGTACGCCCCAAAGTTATCTGTAGGTACAACAAACAGCTCTGACAGAGAGCGCTAACTCCCCTGCAGAATTAGGTTTTTTTGAGGCTTTTTTCCTGCTTTTAAGACAACTTCCCCTCCAGTCCTCCCTGTAAAATGTCAGGGAATATACCATGACTACCACTCTGAAATGACAGAAGCTGTAATCATTGTTATCAGCTCATGACATGGACTAAGACACACAATTATTACTTAGGGATTGTAATTTACCTTGAAGTACTGAGTGCCTCTCTCCTTCACAATGCAGCTTTGTTCCAGCTTCTCATCTGTGTTCATTTCCCAAGACTCCTTAGCCTATCCAAACAGGAACAGTTAAAGTCATTGATGCAACTTCTGGGGAAAACAAATGGCTATGCTGCACCTCGCTACCAGTATGGCAGAGACAGGCTTGTCAAAGCAGAGTTTTGCATCGCTACCGGAAAGTGGGCTAGAGCAAGAGAGACACTGATGGGAACAGACAGGGATGCAATAAGAATAAGGACAATCTGAGCCAAGAGCTCCCAGTGTGTCATCATTTCTGACAACAGTGGCTTCCCTGTTTCAGATCAACATTCAAGGATTCCACCATCCTTGTTTAAGACGCGTCTTCCCCCAATCTCTTTGGGACTTCATCTCTCATTCCTACCTTTTCAAAGCTTTTGAGTTTCACTTCATACTGTAGCTCTGCATCTGGAGGGATCTGAAATTTCTCCTTCCCAGCACTTCCAAAACCATAGCTGTAAGGTTGGGGGTTCAGGAGAGGAAAAGAAACAAATAAACAAGAGAGTTCCAAAACTACCCAGTCAATCCTATTTGCTACATAGGAAGCTGGAGGCAAAAACCCCATGCATATCTGGGATGCCTATATAGAGTGTTACTGCAGGACACAGAGTCTTGAAAAGTTCTTGGTACTATTCTAAAATTAGCAAGTGTAAGGTAGAAGAAAGCTGGAGAAACTTGGTGTAAATTTCATTAATCTCTAGGTCACCAGTTTTTTTGTTGTTGTTTTTTAGTTTATGTGAAGGAAAAGCAAATTATCTCTCAATCAATACTTTCACGTTTTATGTATCTTGCTTTATATGCATGATCTGAGACTGGATGTTTCCTTCAGAGCACCAGTATTTTGGAAGTATTCTCAGAAAAGCAAAGACAATGATAAATACAGAGACTAAGTGAACAGCTGTATGCTTGACATATTGCAAATCAGCTGATTAACAGTAAATGTCTACAGAAAAGTTCTGCACTGGAGCTCCAGTAAGGAACTGAGTATTAGCAGGAAAACCCTCAAGATCAGATTGCTTTGCTTTTCTTCTCATGAGGTTCAGTTCCAGTTTGAAAAACTTAAAAACTGAAACTAATTAAAGTTTGATGGAAACAACCAGTGCAAACTCCACTTGTTTCAGATTGTGTTCTCACTGGAGAGAGAAAATTCTGCTTATTTCCAAGGCTATTTAAGGTTACAATATTGGACAGTTATACATCGCAGCTTTTCTTAGGTCTCAGAGAATTCTCATAATGGTCCAAGGTTTGGATGTAACTCTGCCTTGTATCTCACAGCAATCTTGAAGTGCTTTTCCCAAAAAGCTTTAAGAATACCAGTGAACATTTTCTACTGAAAAGGATTTCTGATACTCTTTACTAACCACATCACCTAAAGACTGGCTATCCGGTCAAAACAGGCTGCTCATCAGCTCTCTCCCTATTCTGAGGCTGTTCTTTAGGTATCTTTATTTGCACTGCTGAACAGTAAGTACTGTTTCATTAAGAAGGACCATAAAAATGTAAGTTAAAGAAAGCAACAATTTTTTTTAATATTCACTGAGATCAAGACTATAGAGACTTAAATTTATTTTTGAGTGCTACTACTTCACAACCTAGTGGCAAAGTTATCTTCGCTTCATACTTTTCACACATCAAATTTTTAGGGCTGTTTTTACTACAACACTGAAAAAAGCTGAAAGGCATTATAACGAAACACTTCATTCTTGCCAGATGCTTACTATAAGACCTTCAAGTATCAAAAGATCAGAAATAGCATACTTGGGCTTGAGATAGAACACAGATTCCTCAGATTTCTCCATTTTTTGGATTGCTTTCTCCAGACCATGAGGAAGATCATAGTTGTCCCCTTCTCCAATCTCAAACTGCAATTCCCGCTTGTCAAAAACACGATCTCCACACCGGCCTTCAAACTGGACTGGTAACAAAAAACAGAACAGCCCAGATAAAAATCAGAACATATTTATGGATGGTAAGAGGCAGGTACCACAGGTAATATAGGGAGTGCCAAAGCCTCCTCCTAAACAGTCTTTTCTCTTTTAACAGCTACTTATGCATGGTGGCTACTGGCAGCAAATAGAACTTCTGCTGCTAAACTTAATAAATCTATTTTGTTCATCTATCTATTACTTTTTCACTCCAACAAGTGCCAGAGCTACTTCACTGCTTGTTCCCCGGCAAATTAAAACACTTCATTAGACTCATCTACCTCTTATGATTAAATAAGCACTTTATCCGATTCAGTATCTCTGGAGAACAAACACAGTTGCTGCTGGAAAATGTAAACCTTGCCAGAAATAAGAGAATGAAAGCTTACTCTAGGTTGTTAAGTTACCTGGTAAAGGAAAGAAAAGCCACATATTCTTCTCTCTCAGGGCAGAGTTGTAGACTGGGAAAAAGGTTCTGCCCTCCTGCACAGTAAACCCATTTACTATTTGTGTAACATACTTACTGTCAACAAGAGCACCCTCATTGGGCTTGGAATAGCCTTCCCCCTTTTTACGGATTCTTCGGATGATGCCGCCATCTTCATCATCAGTGAGGTCCTCCCCCTTGAACTCAAAAAGTTCTATCTGTGGAGGGAAGAAAAGCCTTATATTTATTCTCATCACATCAATTCATTCACTCACAGAATTTGTTCTCCAGAGATCTTAGAACAGCTAAGCTATAGCTGTTCAGGAAGCCACTATCTATCTTAGTTAATGTCCTGTAACATAGACAGCCAAGGCTATGAAGATGCTGTATTCAGTAGACACTGGATGAAAGCCTGCTAACAGTTTCAGATTATAATCAGGCCTTCATGGGTTTTATTTCCTCCAGCAATCTTGGTCTGTAATACTACAAATGAGATCCTTTAATTGAAAGAACTGTGAACCTGGCTTCTGAATAAGGCTTACACGAGCCACAATGCTTAGAGATTATGGCAAAAAAAAAAGATTCTATTGGCTTCTTTAATACTATTTTTGCTAAAGTCTGCAGGCAGAAGTATGGATAGTGGTTTTCAGTCTTGAGGTTTTGTTTGTTATTTTTAATATGAAGGAAAATACCTCTTGAATACATTAAGCCAGGAAGAATTTGCCCTCGGCTGCCACTTTACAGTGCTACCACACCGATCAGCAGCTGTCACACCCCCTTACTCTTCAGTCGAGTAGAATCACTGTAGTGTCACTGCATTCAAGAGCCAAGGAGGTTTGTAGGAAATGCAAGGACAAAAGGAGCAGGAAAACTAAGTATAAAGATGAAATCCTTATCCTTAAGTCCTGGTTATACCTTTCATTTAATCTGTGGTCAAATTCAGATCAACTTTCAAGAATTTGCAACGGAGCCCAAATTGTTCCCAAATTTTTGTCCTGCAATATTAAAACAACTTCAAGAACATATTTTTAAACCTTCTCATCTGTTTCTTCATCCTCCTACTACTCTGCCACAGGATAGTAGTTCTAAAACCTCTGTGTCGTTCTCCCTTGCATGCCTGAACAGTTAGTGCTCTCAATGTACGCGTCACATTTTCCCCTCTAGTGCTGCCTTATCACTGTGTACTGCGGGTTCATTTAAAAAAAATTAAATAAATATTTCCAGAAGAATGACAGAACAACAAAACGATGAACTGGACTATCTTTCATCTAAACTTGCTGCTGCAACATATTATTTAGAATTTGTAAGAGCTGGTGTTAATGCAGGAGGTAACTATCCAGCCTCAGCCTTCACATGCCCTTTGAAGTTGCTAATGTAAATCATAGTTTGAAGTGGGAGGACCAAGACAAGATGGAAAATAGTCCAGTCACTAAAGAAATCTGTTGTTGCTGTAATGAAATTAAGAAAAAACAATCTTTCACTATCCTACGTTTGAGTAAAACAATAGTAAAAACAGTACAAAGCAAGCCATTGTAATAAGCATTGTTTAGACTGAGGAACTAGGAAAAAAAAAAAGAAAAACAGTTCAAGGCTAATGCTGTGGAGGTTGATGACACTGGGCCTCACACCTGGAATGCAAAGGAACTGAATATTCACCAGCACAAACAGTACTTCCACTTTGTATTTTGATGGATACCTAACTAACAAATAATGTTCTAGTCTCTCTCTTCAGTTGGTCTCAAACAAGCTGATTCACTCCAGAATGACCATATGCATCTCTCACCTTTTTTTTTTTTGACACGAACAATAGTATTCTACAGAAGTGTCTATTTATCTGGCAAAGGCAATCATGAGGAAGGTAAGAACAACCCATACAACCAAAAAATCCCACCAGAACTCTAAGACATTCATTATTTCACGTCATAACCAAATGCTGATGTGGTGATGACAGCAGCTACAAAATCTCTCCCAACGCACTGTTGTCTTTTGTTAGTCAGAGCATGCTCCACAAACAGCTTTATTATCTATGGAAAAAATCAAACATGAGTCTTCACATTCTGAGCAACCACTCTCACTACTGAAATAATACACAAGAGACAGCTGCTATTTCCACCCCCTTTTGGGAAGGTGGAGGGGAAGATGCCTTGAAGATCGCTAGGAAACAAATTCTGTACTCTGCTGGCACGGTTAAGAAATACCCGTGCTAAGTGGCTCCACGCTCACCAAGACACAGGGTTCACCTCCAAGGAGACCAGCTGTCCACATGAGCTGTGAAAACTGGCTTTTCAAGATTGCTGAATCTGTCATGGGGACCAAGTGTGTACAAATTACCTACTATGATGGCAAGACTGACCAATGTAGCCTGGATCCACGTACAGACTTCGGTAATCAACAAGCAACCTGAATCCAAACTGTTCTTATGGTGCTTTAAGGCTTATTAAAATGCTCAGATTGACAGGAAAGAGAGTTCACAGTTGCAGGGCCGTTCAAATACACTTTATATCCTAGCGGATTATATAGGATAATTATGTCTTTTCTCCCACAAAGAGCTCATAAAAGACTCTGTTTATGTCACAAATAAAACATTAAAAAGTAGAAAAAATATATCACTAAGGACATTAATTGCTCTTTCTGCTGTTGAAAACTTTATAATGTTTATCATAAGTATCATTACTTTGAATCTTATGAAGTTGCAAGAGGATTAAAGATTTCATTTCTCCAACTACTTCAAAATCTGCCACTGAGACAGGCCTTCCTTCTCCTGCCTGCCTGCCTCCCTCCCCAACCTGCACCTTCCTACAGCAAATCATTCCATAACTGCAAAATTAAAACCGCGAACACTGGAAAAAAATTATTTTAAAACTCAAAAATGAGGCAACCTGAACCACTGCAGACCGATAGCAGCCAGACCAGAACCCTATCCTTTGCCCACACTACTCAGATTGACCATATTTTTCTCCTTAGAAAACCTAACATTCCTGTTTTGAAAGGGTATTACACCATGTATTTTCCACAATGAAATACGATTTTTGCTTGTTTTTCAAGCATAGGATTTTAGTGACCATGTCTCACTTACCTCAAAAATCAGTGTAGCGTTGGGAGGTATCTTTGGGGGGCTCCCAGCTGAGCCATAGGCGTATTCTGGTTTACATGTAATCCGACAGATTTCGCCAACCTTCATAGTCGCCACAGCGATGTCCCATGCTTTGATCACCTCACCTACACAAGTCAAATTTCAAGCACTTGACTGCCAGGCAGACATGAAAGACATGCTCAGCTGTGACACTGAGCACCATCACTTTTAGTACACAAAAGCTAAGACAGCGCCGAAATACTGAAAGACTTGTGCTTGCTCTGATTTACACACATCAGTTGTAACCCTAATTATATAATTATAAAGTTATTGTAAAGTTAAAATTATAGAGTCACCTGGGGACACAAATTTGGCTAAATTCCTTCATGCTAGGTATAGTGATTCTTTTCTTTCCTTCACTTACTGACCCATAGGGGAATACAAGTCATCCGGAGCACTTGGCACAATCTCAAGTGCGAGGAAATAACAATAAACTCTTCGAAGAGGAAGGTCTCGGGGTGAGAGACTGCCTGCTTGTATTTTGAAAACAATCCAGAACAACAGCCAGAATCTCTCTGTACTTTATCAGCTGGCAAAGAGCAGGACGGGTGGTAACTAAAAGTTACATGCACTTGTAACAGAAAAGGGGAGGAAAGTAGGAGAACTGGTATTACTTCTAAAGCCAAAAGTGCACAGAGGCTGGAACCTCAAGTATCAAAATCCTGTCTTTTACTCAAGCTCTCCTACTTGCTGCTCCTTTTAACTCAATCAAGCAGCCTTTCTATTACTCTTGTATTAATAGATACGGTTCGTAATATCTCAGATTTCAGTACACTGCATAATTTATCTCCCAAATGAAAAAGCAGCAGGTATGAACTGCCAGGGAAAAAACTCGCATTAAGATTTGCTGGAACAAGGTTTGGGATTTTTGCATTCAAAAAACGAAGGCTTTTGATAATGAAAAATCCTGAAGCAGTGCATATCTGGGTTAATTTGGGAACTTAGGGGAAAAAGGGAGTATGTTTCATCATGCTGCAGCTGACAGCTGGTCCCGTGCACCCTGTCCCACTATCTGGTCACAATTAAATACCCCTGAATTTGTGTCTTTTCCAAAAAAAACAATCAAAGTGCACAATCTGGCTATTTAACTACCCTTTACCGCTACACTTCAGGGCAAATTTGCTCTTCTGGAGTACTTTGTCTGAGGCTCATGAATTCTTCAGCAGGCCTCATCACGGGGCTACACAGTTTTCTCACTCAGAAAAATCTTGAAGCTGTTCTCATTGGGCCATTCTAAAAGAATAAAACTTAAGCTCAGAAAACAAGTTTAAATAGCAGCTTTAACACGCAACATGCAAGGAAATCCCATCTCAATTATTACCAAAACTGATCAACACCAAACACAAGGTATTACCTTTCCCCAGGTCAAATGAAAATTTGTCTCTCCTGTCCAGACTGGAGTCAAATTTTGTGCCATCAAGAAGCCATCCTGTGTAATGGACGGTCACTTTATCACCTATCATTGGAGACTCTGTCCCACTGCCTTCTCTCTTGACGACCTGAGAAAAAACAGTAAGCAACATTAAGATGATGAATGAATGAATGAATACTAAGTCTGTTTGTGAATTCCATTTAGATGCATGTGTTATCATCTTCATAAAGGATTTGCAGGTTCACTGCAGTTATCTGGAAATGGACTGACTATTCTGTTTGCAGATTAGCAGTGCTGCAAATGCAGGAACCTCAAGATGGCTCTGCTGCGATATGAGAACTTAATTGGCAACGGTTGGCACCAGCTTACAGATCTCTGCGTCTATAGTTAGCAATGTCACTTATCTTTCCTCAACAAGATTTTAAATGTTCTTGAAACCTAATCAGGTAAAGCATTAGGTAGAGGTTGTTTGGTTGTTTTTTTGCTTTATTCAAATACTTTCTTCACCACCACTCTATCATTACCCCTCAGTTTGGTGTTCTAGGCAAAGCATTTAAACAAGAAAATGAGCTGGATCTTTCCATGCAAAGCCTATTCCAACACGAGATCAGAGATTACTCGAGTTAAACCAGAGAGTTTAGCAAAGGTTACAAATTCCTGCCTCAATGCAGGTTAGTTCCAGCAGCCAACACAGTAACACTTAGGAATTACTGTATTGTATTAATTTTGCCTCCCCACAACTCTGACACACATTGCTAGCACCCTGATTTCATGTACAGCTGCAAGGATTTTATTTTCTTCTCAAAAGGTTCCCCAGCTCAGCAAGGCCAGTACCCACTAAATCTACACTATAGGAAAAGCAAGATTGGCCAATCTGTCTCACGTTCATTTGAAACGTATATAAAAACAGGGAATAATACTGACATATCTCATAGGGCAAGGTTATGGAGCCTTGCCCGGAACAGGATTTCTGAAGCTCAAATTTGAGTTTTCTCCAATACTGATGAAACCATCCAGCTCCAAGCCAAAGCTCTGCATTACTTTACCTAGGCAAAGGGAACCAATGGAAAACCCTATTTGTTTGCATCTACAGAGACCTGGAAAACATACTGTTCATATAAGATAAACATTTGTTCAAGGGTGGTTATACAGAAGTATGGATTGATCTCCCTCCTTTAAAGAAAAGCTATAAAAATGCTTCTATACCACTTGTGTTTTTCACTGAAAGAAGCACATCCTTGGGAGTCTCCTTCCCAAATTTCAACTTCTTGCAACCAACCACTGTGTATCTCCTACGCTGCCTCCCACCATCCACTGAGTACACTGGAACACCCAGCACTCTCCACCCAAAGCCAAGGCAATATGGACAGCTTCTGCCAGACTCTTAGCAAGCTGAAAGCACTTCCCAGGATGCGTAAGAGAGAAAAAAAAACCCAAACAAAACCACCCAGAAAAAATACTACCTGTAGGGAAAGAATGAATGCTCGGTGTGAAAAGATGCCTGATCTCACACCGCACACCACCTTGTCACCCGGCACCAGTGCTACAGCAGTTATGAGCATTACAGAACTAACCTATTGATTTCTTCCCCAAGGAAGGCAAACATTCAAGCAGCCACTCTCAAAGAGATAAGGGAATAGAGATATTTGAAAATAACCAACATCATGATTAGATATATAGAAGCGGATCCAAACTTGTACCTTTAAAGCAGCCAACCTGAAGTCACTGCAAAAAAAAATAACTGCATTTAATGGAATTTACTAAGCTTTTCCAAATGCCATCTTCTTGTAATGTCATACCAAGTTATCAAACATGAAAATAACCAATATCTCATTTTCAGTATTTATACAATTGTATTATTTTGCGTTTATTTAATCCTCAAGAGACTCACATTTCACTTTTTTCATACACTCAATATGGCAACTCTGTTTAGCATGAGGTCTACATTTCCCTTTCAGATGAAGAAACCTGATTTTTCTGTTCATACTGTAGTTGCAAATATTTACACTAGAAACAGTGCAAGCACATTCAGCAGTATCAGGTAAAATCCCCTAGAAACGATTCTGATACAAAGCCAATGAACAAATAATTAAAAAAATCTTCTGGAATCAATGCAACGATACAGCACAAAATTGGTGTAATTAGGTCAGAGTTAGACCCTTGATTTTGATGGGTGTGTTCCGCAGTTTGGAAATTACTAGAAAAATAAAATCCATGAAGGCTGGACTCCATGATCTCTATGGTCTTTCGCTTTATTAATTCACAATCTTATGTTTTTTGAGATTTTTGCAACCTCAGTTCTTTTGCAGTATTTTCTCCTCCCCTCCTAAATTTTTTTTTTAAAAAACCACCTGCTCCTTCTGCATCATCAGAAGGTGGGTACTGCATGGAGCAGGCAGACACTTACTGCCTTTTACCACGATTCAGGGAGCTGAGATGCGGGAGACGGGCAGGCAGCTTCCTTGGCAGCCATGCAGATGATAACTCCAACCTGATACGTGCAAAAATTACAAACTCTCACCAAATCGTGTTGGCAGGAAACATGGGAAAGCAGCAGGCAGAAGCCAACCACACACCTTCAATCTGGTCCCCGATACCCTTCCTCAACTGGAGACAGTGCCTCTACGCAAACCCAGAATTCAAAGCCAAAAGGCTCTGAAGGCTAAAATGAGAATTTCATCATTGCTGCGATGCTGCTTTTTCTGAACACCAAAATCTCACTGCGATTAAAAAAAACTGTTCCTAGGGATTGTTAAAAGTTTTTAAGAGCGACTGAAGAAATTTCTAGAGATATGGAAATAGGAAATATCTGACAGAGGAAGTTAGTGCGACTCCCCCTAATGGCATAAATTCTGCTGCCCTCACCAACTGACTCCCCAGTACAAAGGGAAAAAGCCGGGCTACCGCCACACACCCCCCTGCGGCTTCCCAAAAGCTAAACCAAGGGGTGCACCGACTTCCGCCCCCCCGCACCACCTGGGGCCCGGGGAGGCCGCTCCTGCCTATAGAGAGAGCCCCGTTTTCCAGGCCTTGAGAACAGGCAGCAGCAGTGAAGGAATAGGT